TCCATGGATGGGCTCCCCAGCCGTGGAGTACCATACAGCCCCGAAGAGGAAGGGATTCTGGCTCAGCCTGCCTATGGGCGCGCCCAAGGGCTCCGAGCTCAGTGACGTAAGCTGGCTACAGAAGGTCAAGATGGCTCACACCACTTCCAGGGAGCATCTCAGTCAGTCTGTCCATGGAAGCATTAGCAGGACACTGGCCAGGGCCGGGAGCAAGGCCCTGATGGAGTTACTCTTCCACCGGCAAAAAGTCTCACCTTGCTGGTTGGGAGCCCACGAAGCTCATGGAGAGGTGCTTGGGAACTTTCTGGCCCAAGCGGGGACCTCAGAGCCCCGGCTCCGGAGGCAGGCAGGCAGTTCTGAGTGGACAGGCACAGGGGTGGGCATAGCTGTAGGCGGAAGCTGTTTGAGAAGGAGGCGAGGGACCGAAGATTATCGTATGGTGAGGAGAGTGTCAGGTGAACCCAGGTGGGAGACAGGTGTCAAACCAAGACCTCAGGGCTTGAGGCTTGGCAGGCAGACTAGGGAGACTCTGTTTAAAGTCAGAGCAGGTGAAGGCCCGGAGACTCCCAGGCAGGGAGGAGCGGGGGGGGGGACAGGGCAGGCATGCTGGGCCGGCTCCTTCCTGCGCAGGGCGGCTGTTGTGGATGGAGGCTGTATGGCCCTGGCACACTCGGGGTCTTGGAGCCGGGGTTCACGGCCTGCTGCTCAGTTATTGTCATCATTGCCCTCCTTCGTGACTGTTACTCGGTGACTGTGGTGCGTCCCCCAGGCCAGCTCTTCCCCAAAGAGCTTTCCACCACCGCACCGTGATCTTTGCCACCACCTCTAAGACAGCAACGCTCCGTCTTGGTCCCAGGCTCTTCCCTCTTTTGGAGGTCCCAAAAGAGACTTCTGTGTGATCTATGGGTCAGGTTAACACCGAAGGATCTACAACATCGTTTTTCAACTGACTTAGAAAAACAACAGTCGTAAACCCATTGCCTATGAATACCAAGAACATTTTTTTTTTAAAGATTTATTTATTTGTACATTCAGAACTGGGGTATAGGCCAGAGGCTCAGGGGCAGTGAGAGGCTTCACCCGAGACAGAGTGGGGAGCAGAACAGGCAGATGGACGAAGTCCACTGCCGAGGGGAGCAGCGGGCGGGCCAGGAGAGGTCTGCCGCGCCATGTGGTCACCTCCGGGGCAGGCGGGAATCGAACTCATCACCTCCGGGGCAGGCGGGAATCGAACTCATCTGGAAATGGCTTTAGCTCCTCAGTGCTGCGCTTTAACCCGCTGTGCCACCAGGGAGGGCCCCAAGAACATTTTTTAATGAAAAAGAATTGTGTCCCCCAAATGAGTGACGCATGGCCCTGTTTTACATGTTTGTGACTCTCCATCCTGCCGGGCTTGATGGAAAGCGGCGCTCTGCACCCCATCAGGGCTGGGTCAAGCTCAGTGACGTGCGGGGCTCCCACAGAGAGGTCATTAGAAGGAGGAGGCCAAACCCTCGAGGTTCTCAGACCACCCTTGTAGGAGGCTGTGTACCCCTTTTGGTAGCTGAGAGCCTGAGGCATGGAGACAGAGGCCCGGAACCCCCATCCTTCCACTGCGGCCCACTGTCCGCCCAGGCATCCCGCAGAGTCCTGTCCCTCCCGAGCTCCTGGGTCGGGCTGGCCCCGCTCGTGTGCGGCCGGGGGAGGAAGTGTGCACTGGGCGGCCCTGGGGAACTGGGCGATAAGCTGCGGCCGCCTCGGGCCTCGGGCCTCGGCCGGTGGCCGCCCGATGTCACACCCACGGCGTCAGCCTGAGAAAGGTGATAGCGCGGCCTGGCGCCCTGGCTTCCACTCCTGGGAGGAACCCTGTTCCCAGAAGTCTGTCCCTGGACACTGCCGTCAGCCTCAGAGTTCATTTCCTGGTTAAACAAACATCTCCATTAAATGGCCCGGTGGGGCGACGCCCAGGGGCAGCCTTGGGAGCGCCCCGGGTGCACGGCCTGCCAGGCCCCGCCTTGTCCAGCGGGCGAAGACACATCCATCACCCGCAGGGTCACCGTGGCAGCAGGCCCCAAGTCCCGCCCAGGGTCTGCCCGTGGAGAGGGACGTGCAGGGTGACCCGTGCCCGCGCCCGTCCTGGCCCCTCCGAGCTCTAACAATGGTGCAGACGGCGTCTTCCCGAGCTGGGTGGGCCGCGACCGTCTAGCACCTCTCCTCATCTCCTCCTTGCCGGGAGGGAGAACAGACCGCAGCTTGCAGATGAGGAGGCCAAGACACCAGCTGCACCCGGCCTGGCCAGGGTGGGACCCACGGCCAGCATGGTTCTTCCCTCGGTGCCCGGCAGCACTGCTCCGGCGGCCGAGGACAGACTCCAGCCTCCTGGCTGTGTGCGTGACTCCTGTCTCTGCTGTCAGTGCAGGTGGAGAACAGGCGTCTCCCAGCCCGGAAGCCCTGGGGGCCCCAGCGGACAGTGTCCCCCTCTTGCTGGCCACTCCGCTAGTTGCTGGGGCATCGACCCGGCTCCGTGGGCTTGGGCCTCGGCTCCGTCGCTCACGAGCAAGTGACTTTGGTCAAGGGAACCGCTTCTTGGTAGCTCAGTTTCCTCACCTGTAAACGGCAGCAGTAAAATGCCTTCCTCGAGTCGTTGGGAGGATTCAGGGATGGTCCTCACGTTACTCAGCACCGGCTCGGTGAGCGGTGGCCGCGCCGTGGCCAAGTCGGCGTGTTGTTTTTGCTGTGACTGCTGTAGTCGTCCTCACTTGACGACGAGCGTGGAGAAGAGGGAGAAGCGTCCGCAGACGGAGGTGCGGGAGGGACGAGGCCGGGGCAGGTCTCCGTCCGTCCCCAGAGCTGGCGAGGACGCAGTCACGGCTCCGAGGAGCTGGGGGCGTCTTCACGCTTGTTTTATGGGTGCGAACCTGAGACTCGGTCCCCGGCCCGCCCGCCCTTCCTCTGCGCAGCAGGCGTCTTCACGGCAGAGCGCGTCTGCCCTTGTGCAGGCCTCGATCGGGACTGCGCTGGGGACCGGCCGCGGCAGCCCCGCGGGTGCAGGAGGAAGACGGCGAGTCCGAGGCGGCTCCCTGGGAGGGCAGGAGGCCAGGCGAGCCTGGAAGCCTCTGCAGGCTCTTCGGGCTTCCCTCCCCTCATCGGATGCTGTGACGGAGACCTCCGGTGGGCCCCGATTCTGCACCACGAGGGTGGCCTCAGGGACGGAACCTCCAAAAACACTTAGCTTCTTGGCTGAGAAACTACTAAGGACACACCGGCTAGGTGTGTTCCCACACACGAAGCGTCTCGTACGGCAGGATGAGAAACCCAGGTGGAGAGTGGCGAGGGGTGTCCCTTAGGTCACCCTCGGGGTGGCCGCACACAGGATGTGGCTTTTGGCGGAGAGAGACCTGAGTAACGCCAAGTAAGAAGGAGAAGGTCTGGCCATGAGCAGCCCAGGCGGGGGCCGGGTGGGCGCGGAACCCGGTCGGGAAGGGGCGGCAGGGAGGGGTGCGAGGCGGCGGACGACTCTCCCGCACCCCACGTGCGCCCCACGTGCAGGCGGGGCACTGAGGCCGGGTTGACCAGGCGTCCCCGGAAGCCCTCCTGCGCCGCAGCAGGTGCGGGGGGCCTGGCCAGAGCCTGCGCTGCCCACCGGCTCAGCCATCGCTGTCTGAGGACCCCACACACACACACACACACACACTTGAGCCTGTGAATTACGTTTCGCTTTTACTTTTTGCCTTTTTCCACCCCTGGGTGCAGGGCTGCGCTCCCGGTGCCGCCTCCACAGCAGCAGTAGCAGTGAAGGCTCTAGTTGCTCCGTCCATGGACACCCGCCGGCCTGGGTGTGTGTGCGCGGGAAGGGGCGGGAAGGGCGCAGGCACACTTCCCCAGCGTGCGTGTGGGAGACCCTTGTGCTGCGTGAGGGAGCTGAGCTGGAGGCGTGGGAGGGCCCGGTGAGGGCAGCAGCAGGGCTTGCCCCACGCTGCCCGGCCCAGCGCCGTGCCCTTCACCGTGCCCCTGCATAGCGGCGCTCTCAGCAGTGAGCTTCACCCGAGAGTTAGCTCACCGCTCCCGCGGCCCCTGGAGTTTGGTAGTGCCCGAGTTGAGCGCCAAGGCCGGTTACGCTGTCCGCGCTGGGGAAGCTGCGGCCGACCTCAGCCAGTGGCTTGGGCACGGGCCAGCGGGAGGCGGGTGGAGCCGCAGCCTCCAGTGTCCTCGCTGCACCACAGGCCCTGCCCCAGCCCCACCCCTGCCCGCGACATCCTAACTCTTCGGGGTCCCCAGCGGTTTCTGAGGTCTGGCAGGTTTGGGGTCACCGAGGAAGCAGCTCTGCTGCCTGCTGCTGATGGACAGAATCTGTTACTCCCCCCACCTTACGGGTGCAGAAGTGGGGGCTCAGATGAGTTAAGAGGCCCCCCGTCCCTTCAGAGGTCCGAGAGTCAGGACTTCAGGGGCCCGAGAACTCGTTCGTTCACGCGTGTGCTCTCCAGGCCACTTAGCGAAGCTGCCCTCCCGTGCGCAGGCACTGGCCACGCGGCGAGATCTCGGCTCCCTGCCTTCTGGGGGACACAGGGTCGGTGTCCTGGGACCGGTGCCAGAAAGGAGGCCTCACCCCGCTGGTTCGGGGAGGGAGGTCAAGACAGGCTCCGCAGAGCAGGTGATGGGTGAGATGGTGGCCATGAGGGCTTGCAGAGAAGGATTAGCCACGCCTCGGAGGGGACCAAGGCGAGCAGTAAGAGAGGCCCCCTCCTCGGGAACCCCCAGGTTGTTCAGGCTTGCTGTGCTGTGCTGGGGAGACTCACGTCCCCCAGTCAGGAAGGAAGCCACTTGGGGAGCCCGACTGGTGGTGCCGTGTTGAGCATAGCTCAGTCATCTCGGGAGCTGGGTGCCGTGGTGTTCCACAGCCCCCGGTGAGGCCCGGGGTGCACCAAGGGTGGAGGTCACACAGGCAGAGAGTGTTGCCTCGTGGGAACCTGCTGTCATCCCTTAAGCTGTCCTGATGGCCGTTTCCTCCCGCAGGTGGAAGGACAGTCCCGAGCCCACATCATCGCCCAGGAGCTGCTGTCCTCAGAGAAAGCGTGAGTCCGCACGTGGCCTCGAGCTCGTGGACAGTGCTGCACCCCTCCCGGCCTGTACAGGAGGGGAAGTAATGCAGACTCAACCCTCTTTCCCTCTGCAGATACGTGGAGATGCTCCAGCACTTGCATCTGGTGAGTTAATTGCCCAGAACGAACCGCAGCTTAGCGGGCTGCGGTCGGAGCCGGCGGCGGCCGTGACCGGAGAGGCACCAAGCGCCCACTGGGGCTCTCTGGGGAGGTCTGCTCTTGATCCATGAGTTTGCAGGGGTGTCGGGGGGCACACCCACATGGGTCTGCCTCTCTGCTCTGGTGGGAGGCCTGGTGGGGGGGTGGACATATGTTTCTGAAGGGTGTCTGCGATGTCCTAAGCCCCGCTGTGGAGGAAGGTGGTCGCAGGACAGGTGTCACTGCTCTGTGAGTTGGGGCGTGGAGGTGCGATGCACATGTGTGTGCACGTGTGTGCATGCTCGCTGTAAGGCTAGGTCTGCGCGGAGGGCGTGTTTGATCATCAGGTGGCTTCCTCGGTTGTCCCAGCATCAGGACAGTGCTTGGGCCCACGGGGACAGAATACTTTTCAGAGGCTTCGGGGAAGTCTCCCTTTGCAGTGATTTTGACTCAGTGCAACAGAGCGTTGGGGGCGTGGACTCAGCGCCCCCGGGGCCTTATGGCGTTCCCTGCCCCCCCTCCCAAGCCCTCGCGCACTCTGTTCTCCCCAGGCCTAGCTGCTGAGGCTTGATGCCACTCGGCGTCTTTGCAAGAACACCAGAGCTGGGAAAGGACATCGTGCCGGTGGTGATATGGAAGCCTGGGGTTGGGGGTGGCCACAGCCAGTGCCTCACAGCGACTGGGCCTGACACCCGTGGGCCCCCGGGCTTCCGGCACAGTCACGTGCCGCACAAGGCAGGAACCAGCCTGGCTCTTGCTAAATGCAGCTGAGGTCCTGATGTCACGTGGCCAGCGAGCAGGGCCCCAGGGCGGTGGGGGTGGGAGATAGGGGGGTTGCTCTGGTTTTCACTCTTCAGGACGAGCTTCCCGTGTGGGAAATCCACAGCCCTCGGGTCTGAGATGCACGCCCCCCAGACACACCCAGAAGGGCTGCTTCGCAAGGGCCGGGAGAATCGCTCTCCGGCTTTTTCTTCATGTTTCTGAGCTGGCGGCTTGACAGCCAGGCTGGGCTTTTTGTTTTATGACTTTGTTGAGAGGGTTTTAACCAGGAAACTTCCATCTGTGCTTGCTGTGCTTCCTGCCAGTTGGAAAGATGCTGAAGCCGCTGTCACCCATAATAATATCCTGGGGAGGGAAAAAGGGCCCATAAAAATCACAACTAATAAGCTGGTTACGGGAAATTGTGGTTTGGAGTGCCATGTGTGACGTCACAGCTCGTGGGCATCGAAGTGACAAAAAGGGCCTGATAGGACTCCACATCCCGGCCAGGAAGCCCTTAGACTTGGGCTTCTCCCCACTCCCAGCCTGGGGCATCCCTGATGGCTGAAGCCGGCAGGTTCTCACCGAGAATTTCTTAGAGAAATAGGGTGCTCTAGAACCCCGTAACAGGGAGGGGGCACTTTGTACCCTCCAGCTAGAAGGGTCCTTGGCCCCCCCCATTATCTGGGGGAGGAGGGGAGCAAAAGGGTCCTCTGGCTTCTGTGTTTGGGACTTAATTAGTGTGTGTCAAACGCTAACTCAAGGGTCACTGAAAGTTCTGGACATCTAAAATTGAGTCCAAATCGAGTCAAGATCTGTCTCTGTATAGCCAATTGACGAAGAATGGATTTTACATCTTTTAAATACTTGGGGTAAAAGGCAAAGAAGAATGTATGACCAAGGTGGCTTGTGGGTCACGGCACCTAAAATGCTTACTATCTGGTCCTTTACAGAAAAGATTTCCTGACTGCTGGTTTAAAGATTCCTTTCCACCGTTCCAGGACTGCAGTCATGAACACGTTCATCTCCTGCCCCGTCTACCCAGTCAGCCTCTGACCCGCTCGTCTGTCATCCACCTAGTGACCCATTCGCACACCCCAGTCATCCACCCATTAGCGCCCACACATACCGTCGTCCATCGACTCCCCCCACTCACCCCAGCCCCATCCAAACTCCCTCCACCCCCCATGCCTGCCTGCCTCCCTGGCGCCCTTCCTGCAGGGTCCTCAGTCCTTGTGGATGGGACACCCAGGATGTCTGCAGTGCCACAGGCCCTGAACTAGGCCTTCCAGCTCCAAGATGAAAAGACTCAGAAGCTGAGGGACAGGCTGGAGGTGGAGAGGAGAGACAGGGGAGGGAACAGACCACCATGACATCGCGCTGTGGTGGTCCACCTTGCCTGTTATGCGCAGGCTGCAGGAGCATGGGGGAGACTTACTCCCCTCTGGGTGTACCCAGGCAGAGGAGGTGCCCTGGACAGCCTTTGACTCTCCCAGGCTGGGGAGATGGAGGACGGTCAATATGGAGGTGGTCAGCATGGCAGACACACAGTGGTGGGGGGGTTGGTGCATCGCCCATGTCAATGTGGGCCAGCTTGGGCTTCCTCACACGGCGGGAGGAAGAGCGGGTTCCCAGAGTGGGTGTCTGAGGAGAAAGCGTGGGACATGTTCATGGTCTGGCTTTGGCAGTCGTAGCCCACCATGCTCTGACTTGTGACCGTCCCAAAGGTGCACCCAAGTTCAAGGGGAGAGGACATGGGCTCCACCATTCCGTGGGAGGAGTGTCCAGCTCACACTAAGACCACGTGACATAGGAAATACTGTTATGGCCATTTTTTGAAAATGCAGTCAACGAAGGAATCCTTTCCTCATAGTTTCCTAATAACTCTGTGTCACTTAAAAATTGGGTTCAACTATTAGAATACCAGCCCAGTTTATAATGGCTTAATGAAGTTAGAGGTGGTTCTTCCAAGTGAAGTAAATGCAGAAGCAAGAGACCCAGGTCAAGTTGGGCAGCTCCACGGTCTCAGGGACTGGGGTCCCGTTTGCCTTCCTGCTGCAGCATCATGTTGGAAAATCACTTACGAATACAGGATCACTGCGGCAGCTCCAGCCGTCACACCCACGTCCCAGGCAGGAAGAAGGCAAAAGTGGAGGAAATGTAAAGGCGATGCTGAGTTAGTCCCCTTGAAAAAAGGTTTTCTGAGAACTTCCCTGGGCAGCACCCTGCACCTCATCGGGCATCCCCAGCACAAGATGCCCAGCCAGGGAAGCCGGAGCCTCCGGAGTTCAGTGGTCTCAGCTGAGTTCAGCTCTGACACTGCCTCTTGGGTCTCCATTCTGGGGCCCTGGCTAAAGGGGCGGCAGATACCCCAAGGAAGCTCTTCTCGGCTGGTGAGGAGTAGAAACACAGGCTTCTAAGATCCAAGCTCACAGCTGGCGCATCGTCACCTTGCCCGCATCCCACTAACCAGAACGCTTGTCATGGCCAGAGCCAAAGGCAAGGGACAGGACTGGGCCCGCCCCACACGGAGGCCGCCCCGCCGCCGTGGCAAGGCAGGGAGGGTAGGCAGACAGCCACCTCCTCATCCACACGCGCTCTCCACCCTTTGTTTTCATCATCAGCTATTTGCCTCTGTTTACTTGTTATATGTCGTTTTCATTTCATTCCATTCCAGATACTTTCTCACCGCCCCCCACCACCACCCCGTGGTTTCCTCTTCAACCCACGGGTTATTTTTTTTTAAAGATGTATTTATTTATGTATATAGAACTGGGGTACAAGCCAGAGGTGCAGAGAGACAGAGTGGGGAGCAGAACAGGCCGACTGATGAAGTACACTGCTGAGGGGAGCAGCGGGCAGGTCAGGAGAGGTCTGCCGCGCCCTGTGGACCACCCCCAGGGCCGGGGATTGAACCCACACCGAGGCAGCTGCGGCCAGCTTTCAGTGCTGCGTCCCAACCCGTTGCGCCACTAGACATGGGTTATTTTAAATGCCATTTAATTTCTAAACATTAGGGGGCTCCCCACATTTCCACCTGCTGCTGATTTCTAACTTAGTCCCATCGTGACTGGAGAGCGTGCCTGGGTGGGTCCGTGGCCTGGAGCGCGGAAGATCCCAGAGGCGGGGCTGTGTGGACATGCAGAGGAAGTGTCTTCTGCCCTAAAGGGTGGTTGTTCTCTAGATGCCGCTCACGTGCGGGGCATGTGGATGGGCATTTCGCTGGCATCCTGGATTGTGGCTTCAGCATCTGGCTTGTTGACTTACAAAGTGTGTGAAAGTCACCCAGGTTTTCACGTGATCAGTTGTCTGTGGCGTGGATGCATCTCTGTTGGGGTGTCTGTCTCCCTGTTAAAGATGATCTGGGCGGTTTCCAGCTTGGGTTGTTAAAGCTTTTGTGAACATTCCTGGTCGTATGTTTTAGGGGACATGTATCTCATTTTACCTCAGTATTTACCTGGGATTGTTGGGAGCAGCACCGGTGTTTCGAGCTTCATTAGAAAGAACCCTGGGACATGATGGAATATTACTCAGCAGTCAAAAAGATAAACTCATGCCTTTTGCAGCAACATGGATGGAGCTGGAAGGGATTGTGCTTAGTGAAATAAGCCAGAAAGAAAAGGAAAAATACAGGATGGTTTCACTCAGAACAGGAGCATAAAGGACCGGCGGGGGGGTGAGGGGAATAATAATAACGAACAACTATATACCAGAGACATTTTATGGGAGTGGCGTGGGGAACAGGATTAAAAAATGGGGCCAGGGGGGTGGGTAGTGCACAGGACTATGGTGATGGCACAGGGTGAATTGATGACAGGAAGCCCAAGGGGTTTGCAACTGAGATGGGAAAAGGCAGAAAATGATGTAAAAATAAACTATTAAAATAAAAGAAAGGGCCCCAGGCCACAGAGTGGCAGCAGTGATGTCAGAAGGGCGGCTGGCAGCTCTGGCTGGGTGCTGGTGGGGCGTCTTCACCCCCGGACACCCTGGCGCTTCCTCGCTGTGGTTTTAATTTGCATTTGCCTATTGATTTGTGAAATTGAGTATGTCTGTCTGCTTATTAGCCCGTTGGAAATCCTCATTTGAAAAATGTCTTCTGCTTACTTTCCAGTTGTCTTTTTCTTATTGATTTGTAGCGGTTCCTTAAGATTCTAGGTACCAGTTCATTTAGTCTGTGTTCAGGTGTGGGTATCAGGGCTATTCTCCCAGTCTGTGGCTGCCCTGGTCAGTTTTTCAAACAGCATAATTCAGATAAAAAACCTCATGTTGGACCCGCTGCTCCCCTCAGCAGTGGACTTCGTCGATCTGCCTGTTCTGCTCCCCACTCTGTCTCTTGTGAAGCCTCTCGCCACCCCTGAGCCTCCGGGCCTGTACCCCAGTTCTGTATGCACAAATAAATAAATCTTTAAAAAAATAATAAAAAAAAAACCTCATGTTGGGCCCTCCCTGGTGGCGCAGTGGGTTAAAGCGCAGCACTAAGAAGCGAAAGCCACTTCAGCGCGAGCTCGATCCCTGCCTGCCCCAGAGGTGACCCACAGGGCGTGGCAGACCTCTCCAGACCTGCCTGCTGCTCCCCTCCCCACTGTGTGTATGGTGAATCCTCTCACTGCCTCTGCACCTCTGGCCTGTACCCCAGTTCTGTATGCATAAATGAATACATCTTTAAAAAAAAAAAACAACTTCATGTTGTATGACTCACCCACTCAAGGTGTAAAGTTTAGTGGTTTTGCTATATTCCTGGGCCCATAGTTGATTATGGGATATGTGAGCCGTCACCCCATAATCAAGTTTAGCATCCCATCACCCCCCAGAGAAACCCTGTATCCACAGGCCCTAATTTCCTGCCCAGCTGCCAGCACCTTACCTCTGCCAGCCTACTTCTGTCTCTGCTGTCGTGCCCATTCTGGGCTTTTCAGTGGAACCATCCAACTCATGGCCTCTTGTCTCTACCTTCTCCCATTCCACCTGCCTTGTTTTCAGATCCCACCACATAGTAGCTTATGTCAGTACTTCACTCCTATTTTTTTTAAAGATTTATTTATTTCTGCATACAGAACTGGGATATAGGCCAGAGGTGCAGGGGTGGTGAGAGAAGTCACCAGAGACAGAGCGGGGAGCAGAACAGGCAGATCGATGAAGTACACTGCTGAGGGGAGCAGCTGGCAGGGCAGGAGAGGTCTGCTGGGCCACGTGGGTCACCTCCAGGGCGGGGAGCAAACTTTCACTGAAGCGGCCATGGCTTGGCTTAGCTTCTCAGAGCAGCGCTCCAACCCACCGTGCCACCAGGAAGGGCCCTACTTCACTCCCTTTAACGACCAAGTAATATTCCCCCACCGATGGACCACAACTGTCCACTCCCTCCGTGGGCACCTGGTTCCTCCCACTGTTTCACTATTAGGAAAGCGCGGCCAGGAACGCCAGCATCCAGGTTCTCGAGTGTTTTCCGTTCTCCTGGCATACGCCCAGGCGTGGAGTTACCGGCTCACCTGGTAATAGTGAACCATTTGAGGAGCTGCCAGGCCGTTTTCCAAGGCAGCTGCGCCATTTCACCTCCCACCAGCGGTGCACCAGGGCCCGGCTTCCTCCACTTCCTCTCTGTGCTGGTTAGGACACGTCTATTCAGTGTAACTGTCCTCGTGGGAATGAAATGGTGCGGTTTTCATCTTGCACTAATGACTAGTGATGCTGAGAATCCTTTCCTGTGCTTTTTGGTCATTTGTATTTCGCTTTGAAGAAGGGCTTTCAGATCCTTGGCCCGGAGCTAAGGGTAGAGGGAGCCCCAGGTGCTGAGGTGGGGACCGTGGTACCTTGGAGGTGGGTGTGGTGTGGCTGCATGCTGTGAAGAGGCAGGAATCTGCACTCCTGAAACGTACACAGCTGGGTAAGCCAGTGTCACCTTAATGAAAGGTAAAAGGACCTCGGGGAGCAAAGCCCCAGGCAGCGCTCCCCGCCCAGGTCTGTGGGGGGCGTGGTGGGAAAGGCTGAGGTTGTTGTGCGGTTGACCAGATGCCCCTTCTCGGCACCCTTCGGTGATTCCTGTCACTCCAGGATGAAGCCCAGATCCCTTGAGACATCTGCAGGGCCCTGGGGATGGGGCCCCTGCCTGGCCCCGCAGCACTGCGTTCCAGCTTCTTGCAAGGGTTCGCGAGAGCCGTGCCCACACACAGCCCCAGCTCCCAAGCCACGCTCAGTGTCTCCCTCCTCGAGCTCAGGGCCTTGACACGTGCTGTGTCCTCTGCCGGGAACACTCCCCACCTCGTCTCCGAGGCAGGTCTTCCCAGAGCTAAGCCAGGTCTCCCTTGTGGTAGCCACGCTCGGCCTGCCCTTCCGACACTCAGACCACTGAGGTCTGCGTTTACTCATCTCCTCCCCACACGTCGCAGACGCATGAGGACTCGACGCTCGCTCCTCGGGGCTTGGGCTGGAACAGGTGTGCAGAATATTCGTCGGGTGGCTAGGGGACAAGGACTGGTACGTCACACCCGCCTCTATCTGAGGTGGGTGCCAGGACCCCTGGCGCAGCCGTGGCAGAGCTGTGGAGACAGCAGCGACCGTGCACGGAGACGCCAGCAGGCCCCGTCTCCCAGCGAGCGCCCGTCTAAGGGAGGCTGTTTGCAGGGGCTCTGATTCTGCTCGTTTCTGAAATGCTGGGGATGGCTGTGCTGCCCGCTGGGGCCGAGTCGGTTTAGTGAGAATTAATTAAGCGAGAAACCAGCTCGCAGAGCGGTTAATGTTTCAGTGCCCGGAGCGCGATGCGGGCGCGCTTAGTCTTGCCTCGACTTGTCCTCCCTCCCCTCCCCCTCCCCTTCCCCTCTTCTCCCCCCTCCTACTCCCCTCTTCTCCCTTGCCCCCCCCTCCCCTCTGCGGTGCTCTGGGACATCAGGGTGACCGCCATGACCCGCTTCCTTTCTATCTCGAGGGTCCTGCAGTGCGCCCACTGGCTGGCATCATAAACCCCTCTCGTGTCACACCCTCTGCCGGACTTGGACAGAGCTGAAAGCAGATGTGGCCGTGCTGTGAAGCTGTCACCTCTAAAGCGTAGTCACAGCTGCCGTGGGAAAGCACTTGACAGTTTGCAGAGCAGCTTTGACCACCAGGGCGAGGCTCTCGGCAGCCTCGGAGGCACCTTATTCCCATGGCACGGGGAAGGAACTTAGGCTGCGGGAGCGGCTGCGGCCGCTGCGCTGTGGACAGCGGAGCCCAACGCTGGCCCACGAGAGAGCGTGCTGCGTCTGCCTGGAGTGCCCCACGCAAAGGCGTCAGCGTCCTGCCCTCCCCGGGCGTTTTCTTTCTTTCCCTGGGATGCAGGGCTGAGAAGCCCTACGGGGTGGGGTCTGGGGCTTGGGGACCCCCAGCTAGAGCGGGGAGCCCCTCCCCTCCCCTGAGTCCTTGCAGAGCACACAGCAGCAGCAGCAGGCCCGTGCCCAGCGGGATTCGGAGCTCGATGCGGAGACTTGAGGGCGAGCGCCCCATCTCAGCCTCCCTCGTCCGTGACCCCCGCTCTCCTGCAGCTCGCCCGCCTTGCCTCCCGGTCCTCCTCTTTCTCTACTTTCTTTCTCCCCTTTGCTTCTGCCCCACCCCACCTCCCTCTCTGTCACCTCCAGGCCCTTCTCCGTGTGCTTCTTTACTGAGAAGAGAGACCAGACAGACTTCCTGGGGGAGGGCTGTCCATCCTCTCCCCACTAGGTTCTCTTTAAAGAAACCTTTCTGCAGTGAAAACTGTTCAGCAATGGAATTAACTGGTAATGAGCTCACCGTCGGGAAGGCAATCAAGCAGGGCCTGACTCGCTTTAAAGGCGTAAAGCTGCCTCCACCTTCCCTCTCTGGCTGGATGACACAGCCCCTGAGCTGAGTGCCTCTCTGTGCACTGCTGCACATTTTCAGGTGGTTTCAGGTATCTCGTGTAGGCCTGCAGGAACAGGTGCGTCTGGAGATAAACTATTTCAGTGCGTGCCTTCTTGTTTTAACGTTTATTAAAGCCCTGTCAGTGCGCATCACAGGCCTTTCGGGGTTTCAGGGTTTTCACGGAGCTGTCACCCGGGCTTTGGACGAGATGGACCAAGAAGGCAGGGACGGGTCATCCAGGGAGGAGCTGAGGCGCGGCCTGAGCGGACTCCCCGCCATCCTCGAGCTGCACCAGGGGCTCCTGGAGGAGCTGGGGGAGCGGCTGCTGCACTGGTGAGCAGGGAGGGGGGGCCCCCACCCCGCCATGGCCCGAGGGGACCATGTGCTTTCCTGGGAGGATGGGGAAGCCGGAGGGGGAAGCCAGGCCCAGACCCAGGCAGGCCAGGCTGGGGCCCCTGTTCCGGTGCTGAATCCTCACCGTCCCTCCCCCACCCCCGCTGCAGGGAGGGCCAGCAGAAGGTGGCCGACCTCTTCCTGGCCCGGGAGCAGGGCTTCGACCACCACGCGGCTCACATCCTACAGTTCGACAGGTGCCTGAGCCTGCTGGGGGAGAACTGCCTGCACTCGCCCCGGCTGGCTGCTGCCGTCCGCGAATTTGAGGTGGGTCCCTTGCTCCTCTGGGCACCTGCCCTAAGGATTTGGCCACGGGATGGGCACCGAAGGGCTTAATGCCAATCGGTGGGGCTTCCTGGGAGGCCTGAGGCTGGGCGCAGGGGGATCCTCTGGTGGGGCGGGGTGGGGGCGGGGGGACACAGAAGATCCTGGTTGAGCAGTGGATGCCGGCGGGATGAGCCCGGCCTCGGGGCGGCGTCCGTGGCCATTCTCCTGTCCCAGTATAAAAGCATCAAGTAAACGGGGACCCCCAGCTACAGAAGTGACCGGCAAGTGGCCACATATTAGGGATTCGGTTACTGGCAGAAAGAGTAGGGTTTTATTTTTCCTATCACTAACGCCAGGCGCAAAGCCCAGGACAGGCATACTGCTATGAAGCACAGGTCTTGAGCCCCAAGGGGTGACTTGCCCCGGGCGGTGGTGCTAATCTGGGAGGGCTTCCTGGAGGAGGGGAGCCTGGTCCTGCAGGTGCAGGGAGAACCTCAGTTTGACCGGGGAGACGAGAATGGGGTGGCATGTGGGGCCGCAGGGGTCGCTGATGGGGCTTGTCCTTGTCTCTCGGGAGCAGCAGAGTCTGCAAGGAGGCGGCCAGAACGCGAAGCACCGGCTGCTGAGGGTGGTTCAGCGGCTCTTCCAGTACCAAGTGCTCCTCACAGGTGGGCCCCTGGAGGGACAGCGCGGGGAGGGCGGGTGCTGGGGCAGGTGTGTGATCGCCGCCCCTCCCCCAGGAGGCAGCGGTGGGGGAGGGTCAGGCTCTACCGCCCACCCCTGCAGAGGCGCCAGGCTCTGTCCTGTCCCCACCAGCAGCCCCGCTGGCACCTTGGAACCCGGCTCCGGGCCTCTGTGCCCCCCCGCCCAGCCCTCCCTGCGGTTCCTCCCCACTGAGCAGGCAGCTTCTCACCTCACTCCTGTGGTTCTTGCCACCAAGCCCTCCTGATGGACAGTCAGTGGACACTGGCCACTCGGACATGCTGGCGCCCTTGCGCCTCTGCCACTGACCATGTGGTGCTGCTTCTGTGAGACGCTCTCCCCGCCCCCAGCGCCATGACACCCCTCCGCGGCCTGGGTTTGTCGAGCCTCAGACCTAGGTCCTCCCTCTGGCCCCCCATACTGCCCCCTGCCCCCCTCACACCTGCCAGAAACACGAGGCCCATTCTCCCAGCGGTCTCCCAAGTGGGCAGAGTCCGCTGCCGGGGGCTGGCCTTCCTGTGGGGGACATGGACAGAGAGAGGGATGCGTGGAGCTCCAGGGAGTGAGCGGGCTCCCAGAAAAACCCACTCAGCCGAGCCCGCCGGAGCGCAGGGCAAGGGAGCACGTGAAGGACACCTGCAGGGCGCTGCAGGGGTCACCGCAGGGACCCGCGGCGGTGGTGACGCTGACAGAGCTCAGCACAGTGCGGGCACACGCCCAGGCAGACCTAGGAGAAGAGCCTGCCGGGGGGAGGGAGTAGCGGGCGCAGAGGCCCTGGGCAGGGCGAGCTGGCAGGTGCAAGGAGCAGCCAGCGCTGCCCGGTGAGCGAGTGAGCTGGCGAGTGGTAGCTGGGCCACGCGGAGCCTTCCGCGCTCCAAAGGCCTAACACATCGCGCTCCACTGTGCCTCCAGAGATGGGGGCTCATTGCCCTGCGCTCTGTACCCCAAAGGCGTCACCGGAGGCATGCCACCGCAGGGGCTCTGTGAATGTCAGTGAGTGAGTGAGTGGCTCCCAGTGGCCGTGATGATGATGTTCGTGGGGCCTGGGGCGCTGCAATGGGGTAATGATGGGGGGAGGGGGGATGAATGGCCCTTCTGGCACTTTCCACTTCTGGAGAGAGGGGCTGCTGCGTGGAGCGGGGGTGCCGGCCTACTGGGACACTGACCCCTGGCTCTTGTGCTGCCTGCAGACTATTTAAATAACCTTTGCCCGGACTCCGCTGAGTACGAGAACACACAGGGTAAGTCCAGCCTGAGCCTGGAGGAGGGGTGCAGCCCCATTCTGCCCCTGGGCCCAGCTCTGGACTCTACACCAGTTCCAGGCCCAGGACGTAGACTCCCTCCTGCCAGCTGGTACTCCAGGCCTCTGGCGCTTCCAAGATACCCCCGTCCCGCCTCGACCCCTGGGGCTCCCTGAGAGGGCTGGCACTGGTCAGAAGAGAAGGGGTGGCCAGATTGGGAGCCGCCAAGGGTCTTGGTCTGTATCTCTCCCTAGGCTCCCTTTCCCCCCTCAGTTCTGTCTGTCCCTGTAGATGACCTGCCAGGGCAGTCTCTGACGGGGAAACTGAGGCACAGTGGGGTCAGACCTGTCAAACCCACTTGGAGTGGTAGAACTGAGGTTAGGCCTGTGGCCTGACCCACCAGGAGGAGAAACAGTGCTCCCCACCGACAAGGCCCTGTAGGGAGGCGACCTCAGGGAATGTGGAGGCCGGGCAGGCGGGCGCACGGGGCCTGGGTGGGGAGAGCGATGGGAGGGCAAGGGTGCTGGTGACTCGCCCGGCCCTGCCCCGTCATCCCTGACACCTGTTCTGCGTCCCTCCTCAGGTGCACTGACCCTCATCTCCAAAATCACAGACCATGCTAATGACAGCATGGAGCAAGGGGTAAGTCCAGCCCCTCGCACCTTCCCGGGGTGCAAGTTCCAGGACCCCTTCCCCTTGCCCAGGTCTGCCTTGAGCCGCCCCACCTCTGGGGGCTGCGGCCGCCACTTATCTCGCGGGACACTGCAGACAGCCTCGGACTCTGGGCCTGACATTTGCTGTGACCTCAGGTCCCGTGCGTCCTTCTCCGGGCCTCCGGCTCGCCGTCCCGATGAGGAGGGAGGCTCAGGTCACACCGCCCTGACAAGCAGAGCTCCAGCATGGTCCGAGGCCCAGGGCCAGAGTGCTCTGGCCCGCAGGGTTCTCAGCACTGTGAGGTCTTCCTCTTCCGAGCGTCTGAGGGCGGAAATGACTGTTGAGCCCCCAGCTGAGTGTTCCTCCCAGAAGAGATTGAGAACCGCTCGTCTGAGGCTTCAGTGGCTCCAGACGCGACCGCAGACGCCTCTTGTGTCTGGGCCCCACGTTAGTCCCAGCTGCGCCCCAGCCCATATTGACCTTTCTGCCGACACCCCTGTCTCCGGGCCTCCCCGAAGGCACAGCAGGCCCAGGCCTCGTATCCCTGTGCTGGGCCTGTGGGTCACAGACGCAGCCTGGGCAGGCAGAGCTTGGTCCTGACTTGGCACCTTGCCAGGCTTTTCTCCATGGGGGGGCGGGGGGCAGGGAGTGGGGAGTGGGTGGAATAGGGGGTGGGGGTGCGCTGCAGCTCTCCAAACAGACAGAAGCTGGACCACGCCCCTAGACAGACCTTTTCAGGGCCACTCTCTACACCTGATTTTCACCCCATTACTTCGTTTTAGAATGTGACCCCAAGTGAGGCTCACAGGGCCCCCACCCCACACTTCGGGTGCGCATTACCGCTTTTAACATGGGGTGTGCACAGCGGGAAAGAGGCCTCCTCTACGCAGGTGGATGGCCGGGGGGGAGGGGGTCCTACAGGCCCCCGGCTGTGCTTACCTGTTTACTCCCAGGTGAGGAGCTTTCTTGGGGGTGGTTACTTGCCCCCTGGGGCCCCACCCTGGGCTGCTGAAATCTGGGGGTTCCAGGCCTTCTGGGGACGTCAGTGCAGAGGAGAAGCGATGGGCGTCGGCCTCATGTGAGCCAGGTGGCCATTCCCATGGCTCCCAGGAGGATGGTGGGGTGACACCCCAGGCCGGGTGGGCCGCCCTGAGGATGGCGCTCAGCTGGTCGACACACCTGGCTTGGAGCCGGCGTGGCTCCCGGCCCTGTCCGACTCGGCCCAGGCCTGTCAGGCGCGGTGCTGCTGCTCTGCAGAGGGAGCAGTGCCACCCTTCGAAGGAGAAAGACCCTCGAGGGGCCCCAAACCCTCACCCGCTGCCGCCCACAGGAAAACCTGCAGAAGCTGGTCCACATCGAGCACAGTGTTCGGGGCCAAGGGGACCTCTTCCAGCCAGGACGGGTGAGTGCCAGGCCGGGGCACCCGTGGGACCCACGGGCCCGGCTGTGGGGGCTCCTGGACCCCAGGGGTGTGGGCAGGCAGCAGGCGGAGTTGCTGGGCTCACTGGGCAGAAGCAGCATCAGTGGGGTGCAGTGCTCCCCGTGGTGCTCTCCACCTCTGGGAAGACCCCCCCCGATACTCGGCTTCCCTGGCCTTCCTGAGAAGTCAGGAAAACTGTCTCTCGGGAGCCCGACCAGCATCTGTACAAGTCACGGTTTGTGCTCTCCGGCTGCTTCAGCTGTGCCTGGCCTCTGCAGGGTGGACACCGCCCATGGGCAGGACGGCCCCTCGGCCCCTGCCGGCCAGTAGATTTTCTTCTCCTCACTCTTAGCTCCATGTGTAAAGAAATAAAATGTTTATTTTTATTATTTATTTATTTATTATTTTCTTATTTATTTTTATTTAATTTTTAATTATTTTTACATTTCATTTTTTATAAAGTAACATTTTTAAAAGACCAGTGTACTCACTTTTAAGCTTCCAAATAACAACAGTAAGCAAAAGGAGCAGACATCCGAGGCCTGAGATCTGCCCTCGGCCTTCGCCCGTGTCTGCTGCGTCTGTCCAGCACGAGGGTGCTTAGTCCTCCTCCCAGGCCTCCGGCTCGCCCTTGCAAAGCTTCAGCACCCCATTCCCAAGTCCCCAGCAGACTGGACTGACTGCAGGGATGCCGGGGTTTGCCCTCCAAGGTGGGGTGCTGCAGGGCTGCCGAGCACGGGAGCTTCAGCCTGCCCACGGGCCCTGCTGCTCTCCACAGGAGTTTCTCAAGGAAGGGACGCTGATGAAAGTCACAGGCAGGCACAGACGCCCGCGGCACCTGTTTCTGGTGAGTCGCTGGCCCCCAAGCCCAGCCCCCGACTCTCAGGGTCTGTGAAGCATCCCGGGGAGGGCAGAGAGGGGTCAGGATGCTTCCGTACAGCTGAGCTTTCTGGAAAGCTGAGACTTTACCATACCCGTTTGTTACTGGAATGCAGTGTTGCCCAAATCAGTGACCCGTCACTACAGAGCAAAGGCCGGGCATCTTCTCATGACGTGTGGGGTTCAGTAAGGCTGTGGAGGTCCCCCGTGCCCCCCATGTCCCCCCGGCCCCAAGCTGCGGGTGGGCCGCCTGTGGGTAGCTCAGCGTGAGATGCCCCTCACACCCCCACGAGGAGAGCCTCTTCGTCCTCTGACTCAGGGCTGTGAGGCAGACTTTAAAGAGGAGGGGAGGATGGGGTCATCAAGAGGCGCACGTAAGACCCCAAGGGGGCGTGCTGATGGCCGTGGCCATGGCAGCAGGTGCGGAAGACAGCCCAGCAAGGCCGGGGCCGCCCTGGACGGCTGCTGAGCATGTCTCTGTGCCAGGCGGGTCGTTGTCCCTGGTGTGGGGGGACGGGGGGCCAGGGGAGCGCCCCCCCATGCCACACCTAAGCACGTCACTCAGCACCCAGCTCTCTGAGCCTGGGCAGGCCAGTAGCCCCTTTCTCCATGGAAAGGGGGAGCCTGCATGAGAGGGCTGGATTGCTTAGGCCCGCTGGGCCCAGGGTGGGTGTCCAGCTCTGGTCGTGAATAGCCGGGTGGAACCAGAAGAGGCTCAAAGGTTCCCTGAGTCCAGGGTTGCCCCTTTTCGTTACAAAAGCTCTGCTGGAGCACAGCCTCATTCCTTCTTGGGGGTCATCTGCAGCCGCTTTGGGCTGCGTGAGGAGCCGGGGCCAGGACTGTGAACTTCAACCACTAAAGTGCTTAGATGACCCTTTGCAAAAATGTCTGCCGGCATCTGGCCTGCCCTGGTCTGTTCAGAGGCAGTGAGGCCCAGAGAGAGGAAGGACTGTCCAGCGGCCACACAGCCGCTCAATAGCTGGCCAGGGCTCCCTGCTGCTCCGGCTGGGACGCAGGGTCCTGAGATTGCTGGTGGTGGGCACTCATCCTTTCTGCCCCCTGACCAGCCTGAGTCCTCCCTGGCAGTCCCCACACCCCCCCCCCCAAATACACGCAGGCTCCTGGGGCCTAAGGAGGGTGAGGAGGGTGAGGCGCAGAGAGGGAACAAAACATCCTCAGCCGCGCAGCTGCGGCCGAGCTGGCCAGGACAGCCCCCCCAGGCGTGTGGGGCGTCCTCACAGACTCACAACCTGTTAGCTGTCCTGGGAGGTGAAGTGCATCTTCCTGTCTGCCCTTCTGGGGGGGTGGCGGGGGAAGAGGAGCTTCACAAACATTAGTCGTGTACCTGCCATGTCACCGAGGTCGCAGTGACCGGGCCCAGCAGCACACTCCTCTCCCTCCTCCCCTGCCCCCTCCTTAACTAGCTTCTTTAAGGCTTACGTTTGTAGCGAGAACGCTTCAGTCTTCATTGCATATTGATGATGCATCATGGCTGACCACCTCCTGGATCAAGATACAGAACATTGCCCGCGCCCCAGAGAGCTGCCCCCCCCCCGAGAGTCCCTGTGCTCTGTGCACCACTCCCTCCCCCACCTGGTATCCAGTGTCCAGGGATGGCTCTAGTGCGAGTCCAGAGTGGTTTGTGCTGTGGGGGTCACTGGGGAGTGCAAAAGCCCTGCGCTCTCTGGAGCTCAGGCTGCCCAGGATGGAGCTCAGCCTGACGAGGTCCCCCCCACCCCCAGATGAGTGATGTGCTCCTGTACACGTATCCCCAGAAGGATGGGAAGTATCGGCTGAAGAGCGCGTTGGCAGTGGCCAGCATGAAGGTAAGAGCCTGCGGTGGAAGTGAGAGGAGATGACAACCCCGCTTCTGGGAGCCCATGCACCCACGAGGAAGTAGGTGCCCCCACAAATAGTGTGGATGGCAGCAGAACTAGGATATTAGATGTGCAGGGAAGGGCATGAGGAGGGAGGGCTTCCCGGAAGGGGCGCCAAGTCCATTATGGTGGACAGAGGGGGAAGCTGGGCGAGCTGTCCAGAAGGGAGGAAGCGAATGGGAAGGCTGAAAGGGTATTTGTGAGGTTTTTTTTTAAAAAAGATTTATTTATTTATGCGTACAGCACTGGGGTACAGGCCAGAGGTGCAGGGACAGTGAGAGGATTCACCAGATAGAGAGCAGGGAGCAGAACAGATCAACGAAGTGCACTACTGAGGGGAGCAGCGGGCAGGTCAGGAGAGGTCTGCTGCGTCATGTGGTCACCTCCAGGACAGGTGGGGATCGAACTCATGCGGAAGCGGCTTTAGCTTCTTGGTATAGTGCTTTAACCCGCTGCGCCACCAGGGAGGGCCATTTGTGAGGTTTTTTAATCGGTGGTTACGACATCCTTAACCATTTTAGACATGCTGTGTCTAGCGGCAGTAAATACATTCCCATGCTGTGTATCCATCACCACTGTCCATCTCCAGAACTTTTCTCTTTTTTCATATTTTCATTTATGTATTTTTTTAAAGATTTATTTATCTCTGCATACAGAACTGGGGTACAAGCCAGAGGTGCAGGGGCGGTGAGAGAAGTCACCAGAGACAGAGTGGGGAGCAGAAAGGCAGACCTACGAAGCATACTGCTGAGGGGAGTGGCAGGCGGGTCAGGAGAGGTCTGGGGCGCCCTGGGGGTCAGCTCCAGGCAGGAGATCGACCCCGTGAAGTGGCTGCTTCTAGTGTCATAGTGCTGTGCTTTAACCTGTTGCGCCACCAAGGAGGGCCCTATTTATGTATCTTTTACACGGTGGTTCATGTCCCATAAAATCCCCACCCCCGAGACACCCGTGAGCGTCACCACCGTCTGCTGCGACCCCCACCCACCGTTGCGGCCCCTCTCTCCACCTCCCGCTGAATGTCCCGTTAGTTTTCTTCTGTTCCTCGTCCTGTCTGTGGTTCCCCTGGCTCTTCCTACAGGTGAGACCATCCAGTATGTTCCTCTTCATCTCCAGAACTTTTTCATCTTTGAAAACTAAAACCCTGTGCCCATTAAATACCCCACCCCCTCACCGCCCCGTGTGCCACCAGCTTGGCTTCGCCAGGGCCTCGGGCTGTAGCCTGTGTCGCCACGACCTGGTTTCCGAGGCCCAGAAGGGTCCCCTGGGGCGCACGGACCAGCCTTGCTTCTCCGTTCTCAGTGGGCGGAACCCCGCTCCTGGGGATCAGGCTGTGAACCTGGGGCACTCATGCCTGCTGGCCTGGCAGGTGTTGCTTACAAATAGCGAGATGCCAGCGGCTGGCGGGCGCAGCCCGAGTCAGAAGGGCCCGTGGGTGTGTCCCGTGTGACTGGGCACTGGGCGTGCGGAGCTGAGCCAGCGGGGTGAGGAAGGAGACTGCCGATGGGCGATGGGGGGGCTGGCGGCAGGAGGCGGGCACGGGGGTCTTGGTGCCTCCTGGCCCTGGCGGCCCTTGTACAGGGGAAGAGGGGAGCACGTTGCCCAGTGGGTTGTGGGCATGTGCTGTCAAGGCTGAGGGTTCTGGGGCTCTGAGAGGAATGCCCCCCAAGTTGCTGGCAGTTGGGGGGTAGCTATGGACAGGTTGGCCACTGGGCCCCCACCGCACACGTAACACATGGACACAGGCACGCCGCACAGGCGCGGCCCTGCCACCCGAGAGGGGCTCACGCTGTGCAGACCAGGAGGCGTGGACAGGGCGGCGGCAGGAGGGGGCAGGCCGTGGGAGCCCTGCCGCCCCCCTGAGAGGCTGCCGTGGCTCTCCCAGGTCAGCCGCCCCGTGATGGACAAGGTGCCGTACGCCCTGAAGATCGAGACCCCCGAGGCCTGCCTGACGCTGTCCGCCAGGTACGGAGGGGTGGGGCGAGGGCCTGGGCTCGGGGGGCGCTCATGGGAGGTGGGGGAGCTGGGAACAGCGGGTGCTGGGGTGTCCTCGTGTTTGTTTTGATGTCCATTTGGGTCGAAGGGCTTCTGTTCGTACTTGTGTGTCTGAGCCATGTTTGGGTCACAGACCCGCTGGAGAATCTGCTAGCACTGTGGCTTCTCTCCCCCAAAAACAGTGTTCAGACACATGAAATTTACATAGAACTTCAGAGATGTCCAGATTCCGTTGTTTAAATATAACACGATCTCATGTGTGGAAAATTCTCCCAGTGATTGGGTCTTGATAGCAAAATTAAGCTTCGGCGAGCCGCATCTCCCTGCTCCCACTTGGGGGTGTCGCCCTCTGCAGCCCTGGCTGCTCTCCCCCAGCCCTCAGGCTGCCCAGCGTCCCTCATCATGCCCCTCAGGCTGCCCAGCGTCCCTCATCATGCCCCTCAGGCTGCCCAGCGTCCCTCATCATGCCCCTCAGGCTGCCCAGCATCCCTTGTCATGCCCCTCAAGCAGGCAGAGTTCCCCTCTCCGTCTTCGGGGCAAGGACAGGTCACGTCCTCAGGGCTCAGTAGCCAGGCAGGTGTGACTCCTGCCAGGGACCACTCTGGACCCGGTGGGGTGAGACGGGTCCCCCCCTCAGCTGGCATGTACCCTGGGGTGACGGCACTGGGTGTGACCGTCCAGCAGCACACACCACCTGCATGCCCGCTTGGAGATGCCCTTGCTTGTTAACCATTAATTGGACGCTTCTCGGTGCCGGGTCCCGTGCTGAGGACACAAGCATCCTAAATCTTGAGTCTTGGGGGTGGGTTGGATAATCGTGAACCGGCTAGAGTGCAGAGCATAACTGCCCTGACAGTGCAGTCGTGGCAGCCGTGATGTACCCCGACACCTGTCAGGCCTGGGGCACCTCCGCTCACCCTCCCGGCTGGGAGAGTAAGGGAAGACTCCTGGAGGAGTCTCCCCTCACGTAGTAGAATCAGGGGCATGAGGATTCTAAGCAGAAGGGAAACAGGTCCCTCCGGTCTTAGGTGGGACTGCCCACCTCCCACAGGCAGGGACACCGCCCTTTGGCCTGTGGCCTCTCGCTGGCAGGCTGTCGCCCTCCCGCCCGAAGTGTCCAGGAGAGAGCGGGACGCAGGAGGACATAGCACCAGGCCGCTCCCTCCTCCTAGGCTCGGCTGCTGGCCCTCCAGCCGCAGACCACAAGCTTGGTGCGGGGCAGCGACACCTTGTGGGCACGGCGGTCATTTCCAGCCCCTGCCTCCCAGGAAGCTCCTGGAAGCTCCGCAGGCAGAGGGGGGACCTGGGCGGTCGGTCTGATTGGAGGGGTGTCTGGGGGTTGGCTGGGAACATGCGGGAAGTTGACCCTGGCCAGCTACGCTGCACCACTCTCCACTGGAAGACACCAGCCAGCCCTCTGTCCCCTGCCAGCCTGTCCCCACTAAAGTGCGGGGCCCTGAGAACCTCCTTCATGCCCCTTGCTTTGGATGGTGATTCTGCCCCCCTCAAAGTCTGCCTTCAGCCTGTGGCCCTCCACGAGCCTGGGGCTGAGGCAGAGCAGGGAGGCAGCCGGCCCCGAGGGCCCACAGGTGCTGGCAGGTGGGGGCTGAGGGGCAAACCTGGGTGGCAGGGGGCCCGGTGCCGCCCGGAGGGGTTTGAGACCCTGGGGCAGGGCACGGGGCACTCTGGCTGCCGGCAGTGCTCTCACCCCGCACGCCCACAGCTCCTGTGCGGAGAGGGACGAGTGGCACGGCTGTCTGAGCAGAGCCCTCCCCGAGGACTACAAGGCCCAGGCGCTGGCTGCCTTCCACCACAGCGTGGAGGTGAGTGGGGCCCGGGCCCTTGCACCAGCCCACAGCCCCAGGTCTGCCCGGAGGCCCTGCAGCCCCGTCCTGGGGCCCTGGCTCTCCCCGCTCCCCACAGGCCCCCGCTCGGGCTCCGGCTCCAGGCCGCCTCCACGCGGCTCTTGTCTAACCCATGCCAGGGTCGGGGTGTAAGCTGGTGTCCACGCCAGCCCCCACATTCACGCGCTCTCCAGGCGACCTTATCGCGCGCCCGGTTCTGTTGCTCCAGATACGAGAGAGACTGGGGGTCAGCCTTGGGGAGAGGCCCCCCACCCTAGTGCCCGTCACCCACGTCATGATGTGCATGAACTGCGGCTGCGACTTCTCCCTCACCCTGAGGCGCCATCACTGCCATGCCTGCGGCAAGGTGAGTGGCCCCGCCTGGGGACATCTGGCTGTGGCTTCACATCCAGCCCAGCGGGGAGGCTCAGAGCAAACCTGACAGGTAGGGCTGGTCATGCCCATGTGATGGGCTCCATTGCACCACCCCACCGAGACCATCAGAGCGTGCTTGAAGAGAACGTCCTGTACCCGTGTGCGGGCCCGGAGCCTGGTTCTGGGAGAAGAGATTCCGCAGGTGCTCACCTTTCCCTTAGAGGTGGGTTCTCCAGGACACGTCTGCTGTGCAGTGACGGCGACCCGCAGGTGTGCCGCCCGGCAAAGGCCCGGACAGCTGTGCTGTGAGCACCTGCGACCCGAGGTGGATTTTCGCCTGGACAGGGCACCACTGACTCTCGCAACTGCTACCGCTAGCCAGAAAGATCCAGAAGCCTTTGTTCGGAAGTTACACGAGTGTGTGAGACTGGTTGTGCATTTAACTGGCACACGGGTCAGTGACAGACATTACAACGTGGCTGTTACGTGGATGATCTAGGTGCTCGAAGAGCATCAGAGACCTGAAGTCGTCATGAAGGTTAATGAGATGAGATTCCCAAAGAAGCGAAACTAAACCAAAGCAAACCCCAGAAATCTGACTGTGAATGGAGGCTACAGAAGAGGGAGGCGGGGGTGGGGGGAGCAAAGGGAGGGGGGCTCTGGGCAGGAGGGCCCCAGGCCTAGGGGGTTATGGGTACTTTGGTGCTGGGCATAGCATGTGTCCAGCGGGCTCAGGGTCACCTGTCCTCCTGAAACATCAATGGTATCAAAAACCAGTGCGCCTTCAGTGAAGCATAGAAAGGTAGTTTTTTAAAATTACGCTTAATTCAAGTACTCACACTGAACAGAGAACCTTTAAAAAAAGAAAGGAAAAGCAGGCGGAAGGAAGACCTTTGGCGCGTTCGGGGTCCTCCCCCTCGGAATAGAAGCGCCGGTGTGTTCAAGGGCTCAGGCTTCCTGACAGAGACGGCAGTCAGTAACACTGGGTCGTGCACTTTACGTTCTTAAACATTCTCATCCCGAGGGCAAAAAGTAATTCGTAGCTGTAGTGGAGTGTCCACTTGGTTTGCGGTGACCTTTCTGCAGTATGCACTGGTATCAGGGCCTGGTTATACACCTGAACAAGCATAACACTCCATGTCCGTTCTCCCTCAATTCAAAACAAGGAGAAGCAGGTAAACACCTGCACAGAGACCCGAGCGGCTAGGCGAGGACGGGGCCCCGGCGGCTGCCGGGTGGGGGTGTCCGGCGGCGCCCAGCCCGGGGCGCTCCCTGACGCGCATCCCAATCGCCTGCAGATTGTGTGCAGGAACTGTTCGAGGAACAAGTACCCTCTGAAGTACCTCAAGGACCGGATGGCCAAGGTCTGTGACGGCTGCTACGGTGAGCTGAAGAAGAGGGGCGGGGACGTCCCAGGCCTGATGAGAGGTGAGCCCCACTGTCCAGCTCTTGAGGGCTTCTCCCAGCCTGTGGTGGCTGCCTGAAACCGCTTCCTCAGGAGGCTTGGCACCGACGTCGCCCGTGAGGGGGTTAAACGCACACCCGGGCTGTCCAGACACTTCCATGGAAAACCCACTGGTGGTCCCAGAGGGTTCCGTGGGCAGCCCCCTGGGCAGCACTGACCAGGGCCTGTCTCCCAGGGATGGCTGTGGGTGCTCACGCTCCTGACCCCGGCGGCCTCTTTGAGCTTGTGCAGTAGCTGGGGCCTTGGGGGGGGGGGGGCGGCTCTCCAGCTTGAGGATGTCAGACAGAGAGCAGAGGAGCTGGGGTCAGGAAGGGCTGAGGGCCACTGGTGAGGGCAGCGAAGAGGCTGAGCTGGTCCTGAGACACTGCCCAGGGGACAGACTTCGCCCACGCAGGTTCAGGCTGGAGGGAGAGCAGAGTGTCCCGGACCCCAAGCCTAGGTTTTCCCACCCTGCAGCCATCAGAGAGGAACCCAGCCCTGGCCCCGGGGGAGCTGGAGGAAGAGGAGGCCCAGGCCTGGGAGAAACCTCCCCATCTGGCCCCACACCCTTCGTGGTGGTTATACCGAGCTTCCCCAGGAGGGTGGCGCTCTCAGGAGACACCCCAGTTCTGGCTGTGCAGGGAATGGGTGTTCAGAAACCAGGAGCCCACCCGCGGCACTCAACCTGTCCCCCCGCTTGTGTATTGCAGAGCGGCCAGTGAGCATGAGCTTCCCCCTGTCCTCACCCCGCTTCTCCAGCAGCGCCTTCTCGTCCGTCTTCCACAGCATTAACCCCTCGACCTTCAGGAAGCAGAAGAAGGTCCCGTCGGCCCTGACTGAGGTAAAGCAGGTGGGCTGTCTGCATGGAGGAGGGTGTCGGGAAGGTTCCTCAGACTGTCGGACCTCCGCTGCCAGCCTGACCCGGCTCTCTGGGACAGAGAGGACCCTGAGGGAGAGATTCTGGCCTGGGACTGACTCACCCGGACCAGGGCAGCACCCGATCCCTCTGCATAGGCCTTGGGCACAAGCTGCCCCACAGAGGACCCTGTGGGTGCGTGGCCTCCCCCTTTCTCACTTTATTTATAAGATGTATTTATTTATGCATACAAGAGCTGCAATACACAGGCCAGAGGTGCAGGGGTGCAGAGACAGAGTGGGGAGCAGAACAGGTGGATGTGCTGAAATCCACTGCTGTGGGGAGCTGCGGGGAGACAGGAGAGGTCTGCTGCGCCCTGGGGGTCAAAGCTCGTGCTGTCCTCCTCACAGGGCTGATGCGCAGAGCAGTGGGCCCCGGGGTCTAAAACACCTTCAGCCCTGGCGTAGCTCTCCTCTTGGGCCCTGGGGCGAGCCCTCACCGGGGGTCCCAGCTGGCTAGGGTGAGCCTCCTGAAGGACCAGGGACTCTGTGCAAGAAGCCTCGGAAATGACTGAGCTCGGTCCTCTCTAGCTTACGGACCTGCACTCATCACACTCGCAAACAAACGTGTGCACTTACACACCCTGGAAACAAGTGTCACTGGCTGTCCCCAAGACTGTCCTTAATATCATTGTCCATTAGCAGGTGGCACAGATTAGAGTCTGTTATGGGCTGAAAACCGTAAGCAGGTACAGTTCTGCCCATAAATTAATTCCTTTTGCTTATTTAAAAACGTGGAAATGATACATACATGGTCTGAAGTCAGAAAAGGTGATACGGAAGTGTCTCCTGCCCTGCCAGGCAGCCGCCATCAAGTTTCTTATGGGTCCTTCCAGAAACTTAACGCCTGTGCAGATGTTCGTTCATAGGTCCCCTTTCCGGCCCCAAAGCTAACGTACCATATTGACTCTCCTCACGCTTCCTCCCTCCATCTACCTTGATGTTACTTCTCGTGTGCGCCTCATACACGTCACCCTGCGCGCCGCCCTGCTGTCTTTCCACGCACCTAGAGGGGACCCTCTGACTCCCAGAGGGAGCACGTGGAGCCCAGACGTGTGTGGGCGACGCTCTGGGGCCACTGCCCTGGCCCTTCTGGGTTCAGGCTGCGCTGACGTTGGCATCTGCTCCCGTCGCGTTCCCCCAGAGTGACCACCATTGTATTGTCCGGCAAAGATGGGGTTCCGTGCTCTGCAGCAGCCCCTGTTCCCCCAAGACCTCAGCGGGGACCTGCTGGCCCCAGAGCACCTGCGGCCCTGGAGAAAGGGAGGCCAGGAATGGGGTCCCTGACATGCTCTGTTGGGGTTCCCAGTCTCACTCTGTGAGGTGCCCCCTGCACCTGGCCAGAGACAGGCAGCTCTGTGCTGGTACTTCCCAAAGCCCTGGAGCTGGTTGAAGCTTCTTTCACTGAAGGTCATGGCCCTGGGGAGTGTTTGCTGAGTTCTTACCCATCTGCCACTCTCCAGAGCCTTGTGGGCCCCCTCCCCAGCTCTCCCAGCCCTGCCAGCCCTGCCTGCTGGTCCCCTGCATATGGTGTCAGAATCAAGGGGCTTGACCGCCCCTTTGCTTTATTTCTTCATATCCCCTCACACCCGCCTTCCTCGGGTGTCACTCGGCCCCCTCCCCTCCAGGCCCAGCGCACAGCCCCTCCGAGGCGCGAGCAGACCGCTAGGCAGGAGCGCGCAGCCTTGGTAGTGCCAAGGGGCCTCTCCTTTCGGGTGGGAGAGAGACGCCAGAGAGTATGAGAATGAGGCCTGGAGACTCCCCTCCCAGTGTCCGCACTCCCGTCTTGTCTTGGGGGTGGGGGGGACGGGCCCCCAGTCGCCGCGAGGGGGCAGCACGCCCCGGGGCAGTGCCGGGGTAGGGAGCCC